GCATCTTTGTCTGTCTGCCTAGTATTCCCTTAGACATTTTGAAATTGAGTCCTGGTACCCAGCAGCCCTCTTGAGTCTCTCATTATAAAGGTATACATTTTGAAAACCCAGCCCTGGAACGGGTCACACATTTTGTTTTGGGTGTATCTAACGCAAAGCTTCAGAACCCCCAGCCCGGGTCAGACATTTTGTTTTGGTGTATCTAACGCAAAGCTTCAGAACCCCCAGCCCGGGTCAGACATTTTGTTTTGGTGTATCTAACGCAAAGCTTCAGAACCCCCAGCCCGGGTCAGACATTTTGTTTTGGTGTATCTAACGCAAAGCTTCAGAACCCCCAGCCCGGGTCAGACATTTTGTTTTGGTGTATCTAACGCAAAGCTTCAGAACCCCCAGCCCGGGTCAGACATTTTGTTTTGGTGTATCTAACGCAAAGCTTCAGAACCCCCAGCCCGGGTCAGACATTTTGTTTTGGTGTATCTAACGCAAAGCTTCAGAACCCCCAGCCCGGGTCAGACATTTTGTTTTGGTGTATCTAACGCAAAGCTTCAGAACCCCCAGCCCGGGTCAGACATTTTGTTTTGGTGTATCTAACGCAAAGCTTCAGAACCCCCAGCCCGGGTCAGACATTTTGTTTTGGTGTATCTAACGCAAAGCTTCAGAACCCCCAGCCCGGGTCAGACATTTTGTTTTGGTGTATCTAACGCAAAGCTTCAGGCAAAGCTTCAGAACCCCTTCAGAACCTACATTTTAGGTGTATATCTAAGGCAAACATTTTAACTGTATATCTAAGGCAAAACGTTCAGAACCCCGAGTCCTGGGTCCCGGCAGAACTCTTAAGTCTCCCATTATTCCGATAGGCCATCTTTAGTTTTTAGTCCTGGAACCCAGCAGTTTCGTAGCTATATCTCTGGTCCAAATCTTAGTTACGTGCCAGGCGTTTTACTGATCTGTATACCATGCTGCATGTGTTTGGCCACCTGTACTCTACCGGGGAGACATCTTTATCAACCTTCCAGTTTTTCCATCAGTTTCAGGTATGTCTATGTCTCCAGGTCTTGAGGAAGGTATTTTATTTATCTCTCAGGGCAGCCATTTTATCTGTCAGGGTAGTTGTCAGGCATGTTCCCATTTCTCAAACAGACATTTTACCTTTGTCTCCAGATCTTCAACCCCCTGTATGAGTACCAGCCAGGCATTGTAGCTATCTTTCCTGCTAGGGAGCTATATCTCTGGGGAACACGATAAGCGTATTAGACACCTCTCCATTTCCCAAGCACAGATTTAATTTCGTCCTCAGGTCTTGGACTGCAAGTTAACTATCTCTCATATAGTTAACTATATGGGCCAGACATTTTAGTTTCAACTGCAGGTCCCACGTAGACATTTTACCTACAGGCATTTTAACCATCTCTCTTCTACCTAGACCACATTTCACTCACCGCTGCGTTCTGGCCTCTTCTGTCACGCGCTCGCTGCAGATGCCTACCAGAAGTAGCTGTGGTTCCCGTGAAGAGTACTGTAGGTTGCATTTTCGAGAAGAATGGATATAGCACGAAAAGCGAGGGGAGCGGAGCGCCAACATGAGGCTCTCGAGACGCATGGCCATCGCACCGAAAGCGAGGGGGGCGGAGCGCCAACATGAGGCTCTCGAGACGCATGTCCATCGCACTGAAAGCGAGGGGGGCGGAGCGCCAACATGAGGCTCTCGAGACGCATGTCCATCGCACTGAAAGCGAGGGGGGCGGAGCGCCAACATGAGGCTCTCGAGACGCATGTCCATCGCACTGAAAGCGAGGGGGGCGGAGCGCCAACATGAGGCTCTCGAGAAGCATGGACAGCAGGGAAAGCGAGGGGCAGAGCGCCAACATGTGGCTCTCGAGAAGCGTGGACAGCAGGGAAAGCGAGGGGGGGGAGAGCGGCAGCGAGGGGGGGCAGAGCGCCAACATGTGGCTCTCGAGAAGCGTGGACAGCAGGGAAAGCGAGGGGGGGCAGAGCGCCAACATGTGGCTCTCGAGAAGCGTGGACAGCAGAGAAAGCGAGGGGGGGCAGAGCGCCAACATGTGGCTCTCGAGAAGCGTGGACAGCAGAGAAAGCGAGGGGGGGCAGAGCGCCAACATGTGGCTCTCGAGAAGCGTGGACAGCAGGGAAAGCGAGGGGGGGCAGAGCGCCAACATGTGGCTCTCGAGAAGCGTGGACAGCAGGGAAAGCGAGGGGGGGCAGAGCGCCAACATGTGGCTCTCGAGAAGCGTGGACAGCAGGGAAAGCGAGGGGGGGCAGAGCGCCAACATGTGGCTCTCGAGAAGCGTGGACAGCAGGGAAAGCGAGGGGGGGCAGAGCGCCAACATGTGGCTCTCGAGAAGCGTGGACAGCAGGGAAAGCGAGGGGGGGCAGAGCGCCAACATGTGGCTCTCGAGAAGCGTGGACAGCAGGGAAAGCGAGGGGGGGCAGAGCGCCAACATGTGGCTCTCGAGAAGCGTGGACAGCAGGGAAAGCGAGGGGGGGCAGAGCGCCAACATGTGGCTCTCGAGAAGCGTGGACAGCAGGGAAAGCGAGGGGGGGCAGAGCGCCAACATGTGGCTCTCGAGAAGCGTGGACAGCAGAGAAAGCGGGGGGGGGCAGAGCGCCAACATGTGGCTCTCGAGAAGCGTGGACAGCAGAGAAAGCGAGGGGGGGCAGAGCGCCAACATGTGGCTCTCGAGAATCGTGGAAAGCAGAGAAAGCGAGGGGGCGGAGCGCAAACATGTGGCGCTCAGGAAGCGCTCGCCAGGAAGGTGGCTATCTGGTCCTGTTGGGATCGCCTGAAATGTGGACCTGCGGCCTTGCAGAGAAGCCAGCTGCAGGCACAGCAAGGAGGCTGCTAAAAAACACAAACTGTGTATGAGGCAGCCTTAGAGAGGGACCCAGAGCTTCTAAACCCGTGTAATGTGGAGAGGGGGGGTCGGCGGGCAGGGAAGGAGAGCGGAAAGAGGACTGCAGGGAAGCCGAAGTGGGTCTAGTGCGTGGTGCTGAAAGCGTGGATGGATGGCGAAGAGGGTAAAGGGTCAGTGTATTCTGCGCCCAGTTAACCTTTGAGAGTTCAGAAGGCAGCTCCAGGAGGTTGAGTGGCAAACAGGTAGCAGCTTTCCTAGTCGCGTGGCCCTTGGCGAGCATTAAAATGCTGGGAGCCTGGAGACCTTTTTCCTGCCCCTGTCCCCTTGCCTTTTCCTGTCCCCTCCCTTACTCGGAAACAGTGGTTCCTTGCGCGGAAA